ATTATTTAAATAATATTTAAGCTTCTTATAAGTGAAAATGTTTAAAAGAGAAGGGTTTAGAAAAAGTGTCTTTACTATAGGAAATATGTGATTACACAGTTGCCTACAATGATATGCAGGCATTTCTTTACATTTTATTTTTGTTAACGAGAAACATCTGTTAGAACAGGCCCAGCCGAAATTACATTGGCCCACCCAAAATTTAAATCCTGGCGCCGCGGCTGCTGTATTCCCCAAGATCTAACCCCTCAGCAAACAAATCCCAGTCTGTGTGTTCAAAACAGTCTTGCAGCAATGAGGTGGCTTCCTCAGACCACACTTGTACTGTCCTGATAGCTGGTTTTGTTTTGCAGATATGTGGTTTGTAAGCTGGAATCATAATTAGTGAGATGTGGTCAGATTGTCCAAGATGTGGGGATTATGTTGCTTTAAATGCCCCTGGAATGTTTGTGTAGATGTTGTGGTTCAGCCAGATCTCTGTGATGATCGGAAGCGCCGGTCTGTACGGGTTAGCCTTTAGCCTAGACCTTAGCCCGGCTCACTTACCACGCTTCTGTCTCCTCTCCTTCCGCCGCCGGCGGTGCCTCGCTGGTGGGACGGTGAAAAAGATTGCCTCCGGGCTGCGTAGAATCTACGGAGGGATGACAGTTGTGTCCAAACGGAGATCAGTGTGGGTGTTCTGAAAGAAAAATAATTTAGCTCAGTTATGTATTAAAGCAGGGGTGCCCAACCTTTTTTGAACCGAGAGCTACTTTTAAAGTTGCCAGTGTGCCGAGATCTACCAGTCCAAATAGAGAGGCGTAGCCATTACTGACAGTGTACTACCAGGAAAATACACACTTCTACTTGTATAAAACTGACCTTTGTACGATTAATACTTCATAAAATACTGCTGATCATGTATCTTACCTCTTTCTAATCTACACACATACAAGTATGTAACTGAAGTTACACAACAGTGTTGTTGATACAGAGTTGGAGTTTATTCACACGTCACATACTACAGTGGGTCATGTTTTCAAGAAACATTGAACAGTGCTGCCACATATGACACAGGAAAAAAAGAAAAGACTCTGAACCCTTTCTTTGCCATTATATAAAAATAGTGTTGCTCCAAAAGTATAAATTAGGCTTACTAATAAGACAACTCAGATCTGAAGCTACACAGGAATCTGCTGCCAAAGTGCAATCAAAAAGACAAATAGAATCAAACCCTTTTCTTGTTGCATTTTAGTAGAGTATAAAAAGAAATGCCTTTAAAATAGGATGCAAGCAACACTAGTTTCTTAACCTGAATTGATAATAGACTATAATCAATTTAAGTTTGCATTATTATTATACCATTTTGTACAATAATTATAATGAATAAGTTCAAACAAACTAAAACTTACAGCTGATTAATAACGGTATCTAACTTGAGTTTTTATTATATCAAAAACCTGTTGAAATGCTACTGTTATTTTTACTGTCCCCAAAAAGCACGTCGGCAGCCTCCAGGAATGCTTCTTTCACAACTTTGCCGTCTTTGAAAGACTTCATGTGTTTGGCAAGAACGTGACTGACACGATAAGATGCTATGGTAGCAGCCTTGCTCTTGTTGTTGGGCCTGGTGAAAATGGACTGCTGTGCATTTAGCTGTCCTTTCAGGTCCCTCACCTTTTGGGAGCGTAGGACAGAATTAGGAGGGAATTCCGTCTCGTAGCTGTTTTGAAATGCCGCTCCTAAATTACCCTTCTTCGGTAAAGCCACGCTCGCATTGCAGATGAGACAGATGGACTTTGAATTGGAATAGATACAAAAATAATCATCCTCCCACTCGGAGTGAAAATTATATATTTTGGGCTTTTTTGCTTCTGCTAGGGCTGTGCAATTCATCGTATTTTAATCGCAATTACGATTTTGGCCTGCCACAATTAAGAAAACAACATAATCGTAAAAAACGATTATTTTGCTTTGCTTGGTTGTGACCGTGCACTGCAACATATTGGATCTAATTTATTTGTATTTATCATATTTACATATGTTTAGTAGCTTGTTGAAGTGCGCTCCAAAATATTTGTTGATCTTGTTTATTGGTATTTATTATTTTGATATTATTTATTTAAATGTAAATATAAATGTATCTTAATTTATTTTTTGTATTGGTTTTTCAGTTGAATTATACGTTCAGGGTAATCAACAGTTAAAAAGATACTGTTCAAATTATTATTTGTATTTGTTTTAAAGTTCAATAAATGGATGTTTTCAAAGTCAATGAATAATCGTATTTAATAATCGTGATATCAATTATTAACCAAAATAATCGTGATTATGATTTTTGCCATAATCGCACAGCCCTAGCTTCTGCCATAATTGCGGTCTTGTGTGTGTGCGGACTGTCACTCCTGTTGACACGGACAACGTCAGCTAACTAGTGCCCACTGCCAACCAGCCACGCCCCGACACATGGGATCACGCCGGCCAATCACAAAGCTTTGATGCGTTCAAGTGCATTATTCTGGCACAGGAAGATTATGTTATAGGACATTAAAAATAGAACAACAATATTCTGTTTTATCGTTAGACACATCTCGCGATCGACTGGGAATCTCCCCTGTATTAAAGGCTACTACCTTGCTGCTAGAAAGTAAACATGCTAAAACGTATATAAACAAACAGAGAGCCAAGCCGCTGCGTGTGTGTGTGTGTGTGTGTGTGTGTATGAAAACTCATTTCTAGGGCAGAAAGTGTTTTAAAAATGAAAGAAACGATTTAAAACCGGTTTAAAAGCACAAAGTCATTTAAGTGCAGTTCCTCTGTTTCACCACAGGAGGTCTCATCACCCTACAAATGTAACAAGTTGGTTGGAACAATGCTTAATTGATTGGAGTTTTTTTTAATTATTACTATTTTATAGGAGGTAACCGTAGCAGCGGGGGCCCTGAAACTTTACACCAGTGTACTATGTATATAAGGGAATATTTTCAATGAATATCAATTCACTCAAATGCTTGATTTTATATCTATATTATTAGACTTTGAACGAGAATTGTGAAATGTTGCTACTAATTCATATCTTTTTTTAACAAGCTCCGTTCGGTTCAGGCTCAGATTGTACCCCCCCATTTCCACGTACCCCGCATCCAACGGTACCATCCCCGAGTCTCTAGGACGTCGAGAAGCGGTGTTATGGCGGTTGCTCGAATATCTAATATTACAGCTATACGTGTGTTACGGGTCCCAAAAGCTTGGGTATCACAGCAACAATAAATGTTGTGACGCAGGTGACCAGCACCAAATTCCTTGGGGTGACCATCACTGATGACCTCACCTGGGAAAACAACACCACCGCACTAGCGAGGAAAGCCCAGCAGCTGTACTTCATTCGGAAGCTCAAGCGAGCCGGAGCATCACCCCCCATCATGCTGTCCTTCAACCGAGGCGCCACCGAGAGCATCCTCAGCAGCTGTATCACGCTGTGGTTCGGAAGCTGCACCGCCGCCGACCGCAAGAGCCTGCAGCGCATAGTGAACTCTGCCCAGAGGATCATCGGTGCCTCACTCCCCTCACTACAGGACATATATAACACCCGCCTCACCCGCAAAGCACTCAGCATTGTGGGTGACTCCACCCACCCCTCCAACAGCCTCTTCAGCCTCCTACCTTCAGGAAGAAGGTTCCTCAGCCTCAGCTCGCGCACCTCCAGGCTGGGCAACAGCTTCCTCCACCAGGTGGTCAGGATGCTGAACTCTCTCTCCTCTCTCCTCCCTCCCTCCCTCTCTCTCTCTCTGACATCTCTCCCCTGAACTCTCCATCCTGCCTCCGACCTCTCTCCCCTGCCCCAAATGGTCTATACACAGGATCCGGTTGATTCTGAGGAGGGGGCGGAAGTGTCCCCCCTAAAATAACCCAGGTGTCACCGCTCACCTGCCAAAGGTTCCACCTTGACGCTACTTACTCTTCCTGTTTCCAATATGGGATTAATTTTGTATCATAAAGATAAAGCAACACTTTCTCAGAATAAAGCAAAACTATGAATTTAAAAGAAAAAATAAACTGAGTCAAGCAAAATAAAATAAATTAAAAAAATAAAACTATAAGTTGCAAACAAATCATTTGTGTAATCATGTAAACTATAAGTATTTTTTCTTTTTTTTAACATAGGTTTTTGTTTGCAGTTCTTGTTTCTTCTTTCTCAATGATCAGACTTTTGCTTTCGCTGCGGCACTCTCTTTTGCGCTCCTTCACTTTTTGTTTGAGATTCTGACACAAACCTCCCAGGTGGGCGGGACTTTCAGGGGTGCGTCCCCATTGGCTACTCAGTTTTTGAGTGACAGCCCACTACACCACAGATCATACAGTGCAACTCATGCAGAAAACTCCGGAGTCCACTCGGCCACGTTAGTGTTGGTGTCACCGGGGGATTTGTCATGAACATATCGGACTTATCTTATGGATTGCTGTGCATTATACTTGTGTTGTGTAGTTTATACTTTATTCCAACTTTAAATATTTTAATACCTGAACACACTGCTGCTGTTAAATAGTTTCCCAATTTGGGATTGATAAAGTGTCTGTCTGTCTATTTATTTTATAGATTAAAAATACACATCTATGTATTTTCAAGCTAAAGGTGATAAACTGTATACTATTATTTTTTCAAAGACATGTTACATTTCAAAAGCATATGTTTAGGACAAACAATTAAAGACTGCTTTAATTGAACAAATTCTACAATATAAAAGTGGCAGATTTTCTTTATTAAACAGACCAGACCTAGGTTGCATACCAACACAATTAGGAACATGCTCACATCTTACTATGTTGGTCTGAAGAGCTGAAGCATTCATACACAATGGATAAAAACTGTGTTGTCTCATTCTATATCCTGTGAGAAAATGATATACATTTAACATTAAAAATTCGACATAGCCAACTATTCCTAGCCTGAGGAAGATATGAATAATCAACAGATTTGAATGGAATCTCTAACATTTTCATGTAGAATAAAGACAAAAGAGTGATTATACAAATTACATTTATTGAAATTTGAACCAGAAGATGAAGTCTCAAAGAATGTTTTAAATAAAAGGACATGATAATAACATCTATTGCATATATGTAAAGACATTTGGTCAAATGAAATGACACTGAGCAAGTGATAACAGCAACGCCAGCGTGGATGAAGATGGTGCAGGTCTCTCTTCATGCCCCCCCTCCGTGCTGTCCCCTCAGAGGAAGTGGGAACATGGGATAAGACCTCTGGACACCACGCTGTCTCAATGATCCACACTGTTAATATGAGAGGAAAATAAATGTTTTAGGAAATGAAAAAAATGAAGTTAACAAATAAAACACAGCTCAGGGGCATCATGGACGGTAGGTTTTCCTACAAAGTTAACTCAGCCTCCATTGATTTTCATATCAAATTAGCGTGTTAATAAAATAAGCTATCATGGCTTATACTTGCATATCTAAACAGAATCATGAAAGCCTGTTGGTAGAGTCAGACAGGCACACGAGTCCGTTTGAGTGTGTGCGCCGGTGTCTGAAGGCTCACTCACTGCTCGCTTTGTAGCTAACTGTCCCTGCTATTAGGCTACTAGCTTGCATTGTTATGGATCTAAAGTTAGCAAAAGCTAACTTTCATAACACAGCTTTTCTTTACTTCTCACTTAACTAACACAATAAAGAAACAGACCGTATAGTATAGCACAAACAACACAAATGATCAATACTTACATATATGTTCACTTGTAGTTAGTGATGTTACGTATTGTGCCGAGGCTTCGGAGCGTGTGTCGAGTAATCCCCGAAGCTTTTTGTGAAGCATGTATCGAGGCTTGTATCGTTTTGGGCCAGTGACGTCATCGATGACAAACGAAGCCTCGCTGCCTGTCGATACCACGTGACTGCTTCAGAAAGCGATTCAGATCGGTTGAACCGTTGAACCACAACGCTCATAATACCCATGGATGTATAATAAGAACCATATTACCCCTCCTGTACCCGGGTCCGCTGGTGACACGATGGAATTAAATGAGCTCAGACCCTCACTTATATAGAGGTCGGAACATGTCATAAGTATAAATAGATACAAGCATAAATAAATGTAGGAATAAAAACATGAATAAATAAATGAATAAATATGGTGTAGTGTTTTCAGGGAGTTTCAGCGTGTGTGCTGTGGCTCAGCTGGAAAGCAGTTGACTCACGTCCCTGGTTCAACGACTGAACAATACATATTTTTTGGTGTTTATAAAAGCTACAGCTAAATGAGATAATGTAGTTAATAAATGTATTCTTTGATATGGTTTAGCCTTTCTCAGGCTACAACATGGTTAAGTTTATGAATATTATTAAGGAATACAAATCCCTCTTTGCAATGTTTACGAGCCTCCTTAGGCTTTTCAATCACAATCATTCAACTGGAATAAAAACAATATTGTTAACATGAACATATGATTTAATGTTCGTTGTTTAGAGTTATTCTAAGGCTTTACTCATTGGGAACTCGGTATGAGATACAGCACACTGTTGAGATGTCCAATCTGCCTGTTTTACACACTTTGACCAACAGGGGGTTTGTGTTCAAATGAAGCCCATGATGAAGCCTCATGAGATTAACCCTTTTGCGAACCAATTGGCTGGAAAGCTTCAAAGCTTCATAAGGCTTCATCTCGCCATCACTACTTGTAGTATTATAATAATTGAAATGCTGGTTCTTCTGGGGGTCTTCTGTCCACGCTCAGCTACCGCACCGCAGCTCCCTGCACTGTACAATCGCTGGAGGACAGGGCTGTAACTCAAAAACTGAGTAGCCAATGGGGACGCACCCCTGAAAGTCCTGCCCACCTGGGAGGTTTGTGTCAGAATCTCAAACAAAAAGTGAAGGAGCGAGAGCAAAAGTCTGATCATTGAGAAAAAAGAAACAAGAACTGGTGGAAATTTACTAGAAGTGGCCTCCAACATTCAATTAGTGTACATTTACATTTACTAAAAGTGGGCTCAGACATGAACCTGGTGGAGCGAGAGCAAAAGTCTGATCATTGAGAAAAAAGAAACAAGAACTGGTGGAAATGTATATAACAGTAATAACAACAAAAAAAACAGGCATCTTTTCCTCTTAATCGACACACACACATTGTCATCTACTTTAGAATCACCGGAAATGTCTGCGAGAGTTTGATTAGAGTTTAAGAAGCAGTCCTGAAGTACCATCATCGCATGCAAACAAAAAAGACAAACATATTTTGTCGAGCAGATTGTCTGCGACAAGGTAACCGGTAACTGTTTGTGTAACACATCCGACCCTTTGCAGGGGATGCCTACTGCGGGTGGCAGAACAGACCTGAATCCAGTAGGCTTCTCAGGATGACTAGAGATCTTCTCATAGTCCAGAACAGTTAACAGGCACAGCAGAATCACGATATGGGCCATCCTCCCAGACCAGCACACAGTATCCGCGATGTTCCCGGGGCAAAAATCCTCCTCCTCACAGCAGCAAAGGACAGGCGAAAGCAGCAGCGAGGAAGCGCACCGGTCTCTCCGTGGTATCCCCGGGGTAAAAGGTCTCCTCAGCAAAGCAGCACACAACACTGGAGCATACGACAGGTGGGAGCAGGCCTCCGCAACAGCAGAACCAGGACAGGTGGAGAGCAGGCCCCAGCCTCGGCAAATCCTCCTCCGCACAGCAGCACACGCCCGGTGGAAGCAGGCCCCAGCCCGAAGCGTGGAGCCACTCTACAGGTGGGAGCAGGCCTCCGCAGATAGTAGATGACCTGATTGTGGTTTCAGTAGTGTGTAGGATGTGAGAGTAATTCACAGATATTGCCCTAATGCTGCCGCTTATTCATGCGACGAACATCGTCGAGAAAGTCTAAAGACAACGTCGTGGCAAATACTACTGTATAGAAAAAGCACCTAAATCACATCAAAACGTTTTAAAGTAACGAGCATACAGATGGAGCCTCTTATTTTGGACCCCAGCATACAGCTTCCTGCCGACTGCCAGCCAGTTGCCAGCCAGTTGCCTGCCAAAGACCAGTATTCAGGAATGTTAGGCCCTCCCACTATTCTCCAATTTCAGGGTTTAACCAGGAGATGGCGCTATATATTAAATAACTAAGACTTAGTTTTTCACAATAGAAAATGCAGATATTATATAAAAAACTAAAGTTAAAATCTTGTTTTTAATGCCCCAAGAGCAATAACATCTTGTCACAAGCTTTTTGGAAGAAAAAGACTGACTCAAGAGACCTGTAGTTGACTAATTACAGGCCTCAATAAAGTTCTGCCATTGGTTGTGAAAAACAACGGTGGACATAGTGGAAAGTGAAATTGACATTGTCGAATTTAATAAAAATACAAAATAATGTATCTGTGTACGTGTTTTACTATGTGATCTGCACTTATCAAACATCTAATTAAGGCGAGACACCCCAGGTGAATAGGGTATTTTTAACTTAAAGATATCAGCTAAATATTTCTCCAGTTAATTACTTACAATAAGGCAATTGTTTTTTGTATTACAAGTTTTCTGAAATAGCATGTTTAAATATCCAAATGAACCATTATCTCATGAAATATGCGCATATTTTAACACATTTCAGGAACCGAAATCTGAACTTTGGATAAAGCCAGGATCAAAATTATTGTTTCATTTTGTAGTCATATTAGTATCTAAGGCTTTTACAGAAGGGATTTTGGATATCTCTTTGTATCACTCCATAATTCAGAAAATACTGTCAACAGCCCTAAAATATCAATTTTCACCATGTTTTTAGGTATAAAATGTTATATAATTCAGGCTATGAATTATATATGACCAAACCCTTCTGTAAAAGCCTTCATAATATTGATAGGAATATAACTGGAAGGTTTGGTGTATGTAACTGCTGAGTGATTCTACAATTTAGGGTACATTCCATGTCCATTGATGTCCATTGATGATAATTATAATTATTCTAACTATTTTCTTCAAAAATATCATATTTTGCCTATTATTGGAAAGCATGTTATAATATCACACAAACATTATGTGCATCCTATGCTTTATTTAGCTTGAAATGTGTCATGATGTTCTTAAATTGTCAGTTTTTGCTATGTCCGTTTTTTAGTTGAGGGTGTCTTGGATTCAAAATAATGAATAAAAACCATTAAAGTAAATTTAAAAAATGATTCATTTATTTCAAAAGTCTAAATACTAAAGAATAATAACATATTTTTAATTGATTTCCCCCTTTAAATAATTTAAATATCTTAATATATGAATGTCCGCAAAAGTTCTGTCAACTATGTTACTAACAGAACTTCCCCCTTTAACTCAAAAATTGTTTGTCCCAATACCATGTCACCAGCATCACATGATGCCATGTTCCTCTTTGGCAGACATTTTGAACACACTGTGGTGATTGTCCTCTACATTTTTACAATATTTTATGTATAATAGCACATGGTCAATTAATATACTCATTGACAATCAACAATGTTACGTACATTGTTATGGTTTACAATTGTTTAATGATTTTAATTCAATTATATGTGCAAATGTGATGTTAACCTGTTCAAGAAAATGACATGTGGTCATCCAGGCAAGGCCTACCATTGAAATGATGGATCCAGTCAACTATGTTATTTGCGTCAAATGTTTGACTTTCATTGTCAACTATGTTGCACCTCATTTTTTCAAATTTAAAATATCTAAAATAGTGCTTCTGATATCCTTTATAGTATAATGTATATCTACACAGGTTGGAGTTTTACATGACATCTCTTAAAACTATCAAAATGACCTGTATGGTAGTTTTATAATACAAAATATCCCTAAACTTAATGACAGTGCTGAACATATCACATGAAAAAACAAAACTTTAATACAATTATTTTTTAAACTTTAAAAAATCTTTGGATATATGGTAGAATAGACTCAAGAGCCTTTCAAATTTGATTTTACTTGAAGTGCAGGACTTAATCAAATGATTGTAATGACATCAAGTTTGTCCGTAACATAGTTGACAAACTGAGTAGTGAAAACATCCTTTCCCTTAAAATAAAAAAATATATAAAAATGTTTAAGCTTTGCAACTAGTGGATATGTTACACTGAGGAATATACTAACTTGAACCACTGATTGTTCTATCTATACATTTTATTTGGCATTAGTAAATAATTATGCACATTTACAGATATTTTACATGATATGAGTGATAACACGTGTTATAAGGGCTATTTCGCACAATAGGTGTGCCTTGAGATTTTTACTTGTCCTTTGGTGTGCCTTGGGCACAAAAAGTTTGGGAACCACTGCTGTAGAGAAATGTAAACGTTCACCATCCCCCACCCGCCTACTGTATGTTGCTTTTTGACATGTAAATGGTTAACTACCCCCCTCTGAGTGAATACCTGTTGTACCTGTCCGGGGCTAAGCCCATAGGACGATGCTCTGATGTCATCACCCTCGCACATTGGTCATATGTTTACAAAAAAACGATGTTAACACTTTCTCGTTCTTAATATATGCTATATTTAGGGTCGATATGTGTTGAATTTACTTTAAAATAGCAGATCACTGTGATTCACTTCTCCGCGGCTCCTCCGTGCAGAGAGGCCCCCCCCCGTTGACAATTCACGAGCGTCTAACTCTCTCCCCCCTGTGAAGAGATATCACAGGGGGGGGTTGGGACACACACATTCCGATGGCCAATTCGTTTTAAACAAAGAGTGGGGTGGGGGCTGGTGAACGGTATGGTCAATGTTTGTAAACACTGTGACATTTTGACT